AGTATCACGTGTTTGTATTTCTTAACCAATCATTATTTAATATGTGTTCTCATCTTCCCCAATCATCTAACACAATACCTCACCTACTCACCTTCTCTACCAATCATAATACTATAGAATATCACATGTTTATATTCCAACATTACCGAATAATTAACCCTGTAACTACTACATATTATGGCTTCAAATTAGACCGATAGATAGAGAGTATATGAGTCATATATCACCCCCCACCTCTCAGAGTTGTATTAAAGTGGACAGATTTTTAAATGCAATACCTCTAACATTATTCCCAAAATACTTTCTAAACAATTAATTAAATGTTGCAACAAACAAGATTTACAAAAAAAATATATAGATAAAATGAAGCTTGAGGGTTGCTTTTGTTGTAAACTGCATCTCACAAGCCATGTCATAGGCAAATATAGAGGTTGCCCAAATATTTTGTTTCTTTCCGTGTTATATGTAATTTTCTCGTATTTTTATATAGAGAATGTCAAAATAAGATAGATATAATTGAGATCGAGTACATGAGTCAAAATTTATAATGAAGAACTTGTATTTTTTATTAGGAGGTTGCGGGGTTAAAATAAATTGTAATCAAGACAATTTGCCAAAATTATATTTTGCATTAACCTATTTAATAAAAATAAAATAATAAAAATAAAATAAACAAAAGGGTTTGGTTTGGTGCAATCTAATAATTGGAGTAAACTATGAGGATGTCAACCTGGCCACTACTTGACATATCATTGTGGGAAATATTTAATAAATGCTCTCTTAATTGGAAACCATTTTTAAATTGGGGTTGATACACCAAAAGGCAAATTGATCAGCACAGCAAAAAATTGAATCAAATAAAAATGAAAATAGAAGTATGCGACTCTTTATAGTTATCTTACTATCGCTCTTAATCTAAAAATAAATAATAATTTATAAGAGGCTTATGTGTAAGTCCTACTAAATTGATATATTATTCAATAGGCCCATAATAATTAAGGAGAGAATTATCCTAAGTTTAATAAATAAGGCACTTACACCGAGCAACATGCATGATGTGTGCATTTTTCTTTATCAATATTTTTATAATATTACCCTTTTTTTTTTAGAATTGTAATAATAAAAATTTAAGTACACTTAATTTAAATGAAAAATAATTCAATCCCAATTCAACTCTAAAATGTATATATAAAGCATACAATTGAGAGAATAAAAAAGTCTGTCATCTGTTAAGAACAAATTTGGTTTTGATTTTCAAAAAAAAAAATTTTTTTTGATTTTCTGTATTTTTTTTTGTTTTCAATGAATTTTTTTAATATTTTAAGCATTTTTTTTAGACATACCTAACATAAATATACTTAAAAAGTATAATAAGGCCTGAACAGACTAATTTAGTAACTTTTTGGCTATTTAGCTAAAATATGAGCTAAAAAAAAACTAGTATGTTTGGGATGACTTTTTGGCTTTTTACGAAAAGATGTGCAAAAAATAGAGAGAAAAGAGAATCTTTGACTTTTTGGTACGGGTTGTTAGCTTTTTGGCTAATTTAGTAACTTTTTGACTTTTTAGCTAAAAAGAAAGGTTCCCAAACGAGGCCTAAATACCAAAAATATAAAAAAAAAAAAAATACGAAAATTCAGAACATTTTTTATATTTTTAGGTATTTATTAATTTTTTAAATATTTTTTCACAAATATTTTAATATTTAGATACATCTAAGTAAGATACATCTAAAAAAATAATAAATAAAAATTGCATGAAATTTTAAAAATATTCACTAAACACAAAAAAAATATGAAAAACAAAAAACTCAATTTTAAAAAAACTGAAACCAAACCCATTGAATAATGTTAGGGATACAAAAAAATTTATCAAAATAAATGATCAAATATCTCACATGAGTGGAAACTTTTGTGGATTGACACCTATAGCATTTTTCATATATATTTCTTCAAATCAGCCACCACACAATCAATGTAACTTCACAATCAGCATGCATTCTTCCCAGTGCCACCACATATATATAATATATATAAACATAATGTATTATTATTATTATCTGCCACACTGTCTTTCTTTGAATGAATTTACCTATTTTTGGGAATTGTTGTAACCAAATAAAAGAGAAGCCAAATTGACTGCGCATGCTAAGATCACACTTCAAAAGATAACTTTATGCATTCAAATAATAATAACAATAAAATGACGTCCCAAAGTATAATTGTCAACACCAATTTTCTACTTCACTAATTGATGTAATTTTGAGTCATCTCTTTCATATCACAACAAATTTAATAAAAATTAAATAAAAATAGAAAAAAAAAATATGTTAACCTTTGACAGCTGACTTTGAGAAATCAAAAATTAAAAAAAGGGTAAATAATTTAATTATGTTTAGGTCACTCCAACCCTAGCTATGAATAAGATTTCTAGAGGTGTCCTTTATCTTCCCTGGATTTTCTGAATCTGTTTCATTCAGCATTTAAGCTTATTTTAAAATTCTAAATAAAAAGGCAATTTTGATAATTACATAAAGAACAAAACACATGTTATACACAGTTTTATAAAGACAAAAAAAAATTATAGTAAAAGAATCTTGTTAACATAATAAATATAAATAAACTATTCTATGCTATCACAGTAACTTACTTAATATTTTATTTGAGAGAGAGAGAGAGAGAGAGAGAGAGTTAAACAGGCTTAGCCCAGCTATAATAATGTAAAAGGGCTGGGCCTTAAAGATGTATAGAAGAACTCACAGTTTCCTACTCAAATCTCAGTCCATATATAAAGCCCATTGCCACCATTGCTTGTTTGGTTATCATTGATAAATGAGCCATCATATTTGGGCTGCAATGGTTGCTTGCTATCACTTACAAAAGCCCACTCTGAAGAATATTTGCATCAGAATTCCATTCATAAGAAGCAGTCTAGTCACTGCCTCCCTCCTTTATTGTTTTTCAAAAGAATATTTCACCACAATTCAACGTAAAAAGCTTTATTCCTTTTCTATATAATGATATAATATATATATTCATAAAAAAAAAAATTGCTTATTATTTGAATTTATGATAGGTGTGATATGAGTAATATCCAGAATGAATCACATATGCACGTTTCAAATTCTGTTTTTTCAAGACAATTTCAACTCAATTCTTGGAAAAACTATATACATAACCCATAAAAGAACCAATTTATTTCATATAAACGTTGTACAACATATAAGCACGCATCATAATTAAACAACACATAAAAATAAATAAAAGATTTCACACACATATATATGCCATATATATGAATCAAAATAGACATCACTCACAATCATAATTATTCATGATCATCAAACTCCTCTGATTGCTTATTCATCATATGATCTTCTAAAAAATTATCTGATGCCTTCATTCAATGGAGACACTCCTCCTGCTACCAACATTGGATGTTGTTCTGATCTTAATCCTTGCTCTATTCAGATAATTAGTAACCCTATCATGAAAGCTATCGAGTCTCCCAACACTCTTTACTCCATCATCACCACCACCAACAACAACAACACCACCACCAACACTCGATGTAGTTCTGATCTTAACTTTAGCACGATCAATATATTCAGAAAACAACTTATCATCACCATTACCTTCTTCCCCTTGCCCTAACTTTGCCGGTGGTGCAGCCTTTCTCCCCCGAGTTGGTACCACTTCATTGTTTGGTGCAACTCTAGCAGCCTGGTTATGTCCTTGCCCCATGACATTGTTCACTGGAACTTCAGCAGAAAACACTTCAGTTCGAACAGGGCTTGTTGGATTTGAGCTTTGTGGGCTGCAACAAATTACCTTGCAAATCTTTTCACACACGCTCTCATAGTTTGTGCTGGTCTGGTTCTCTGCCATTGATGGGTGAGCTGAAACGGGGTACAAGTGCTGTGTTTTGGAGGGCTCGAGAGCTGCTTTAGCTTCGGGTTGAGAGAAAGGCAGAGAAAGAGGATTGTGAAGCAGTTTTAATAGGAGGGAATAATAATGGTGGCCAAAATGGGTTTACTTGATCCTGTTGCCCTCTATGTGAAAGCTATTATGGTGCAAAAGTATTCACAGGCCCACAATTTCTCAAAAGATTCTCAAGATTAAGGTTCGTAACTACACGTATTAATTAAGATCGCAAACAAAATACTATCAGGAGTGGAACCTAAGAAAGTCCGAATTTGCGGTTCATCTAAAACCAAACCCTTTCTGCTAAGATTCCTACTTATCACTATTTTTTTCTTTTTCTTCTATTTTTCTAGTTATGATTTGAAATATTATGAGAATCATATTCCAAACTTCTGCCCTGTCCCTCTTTCTCCCAAATTTCAAAAGATGTCATTAAGGGATTTAATACTTTTTAGCTGTTCCACATTGTCGTGTTGCTACGCAAGCAGAAAAAAATGAAAGAGTTTAGATTCTCCCCTTGGTCCAGTTCAAGGGAGAGAAGCCAATCTCAAATGAAAAAGGAACTCATATGACTGGATATCTAGGTCAAGGTGGTACCTGATTCTAACCTAACAAGTTTTAATGTTCTAGGTCAAGGTGGTACCTGATTCTAACCTAACAAGTTTTAATGTTCTTGCCATGCATACGCAACTCCTGATCTACCTCAATACTAGACTAGCTTCTGGTTCTATAGAAACTAAATTTATCGATCTTTCTAGCCACTGAAGAAACAAGAAATAATTCAGGAAAACGTGGGAAAGATTTTGGCACAAATTTGAAGTTAATGGGTAGGGCATTTCCCCAATAATCCAGACCGTTGAATCTCCTCAAATCAAACGCTTAGAAAACCCCACTTTGCCTCCCGCTTCATACTTTCAAGAACCTCATTACTCAACTCCACTATATTCTAATTTCCGAAGACCCTCAATCAATTTGTGGTATTCATCTATCCTAGCAATGGCAGCAGAAGATGTATTTTAGTAGTACACAATTTACAGACAAGGAACGCACGAAGGAGAGCAAAAACAACACCAAATGAAACAGGAGGGGAAAAAATGCTCTGGAATATTCTATAAATAACATCAATTTACAAATGTTTAGTTTTTATTTATGTACAATTTTGGAAGAAATTTCTTAACGGAGCTTTATCAAGAACTAATCCAAGTCAGCTTCTGTACTGGCAATATTACACGAGAAGATATTGCCCTGCAAGGAATACCACAGAATGGAGTTCCATAGCCAAGATGAAATAAGAGGCGAGGCCCTTCACTCTTATGCCTAGAAACATCAGGAAGATCACGGCATCAATGCCGAAAAGTCCTCACCAACTGCTCAATCCGTCGCCGACAAAGTGGACAGTTTGTTAGGTGCAAAGAGCATGCTGTACAACAGCACATATGACCACATCTGAAAATCATAACCCAGATAGCCAATTACCAATTGAATCCTGAACAAAGTCAAAGAGCTCTGTGCAAGATCAGATCATGCTTCACAAATTTTTTTCTCTCCTTGTGGAATATCTTTTATTCTACACTATCATGCATGCATATATTCATCTGAAGGAGAGGCTTCAACATTAAGCTAACAACCTGGAACTATTAACCTTATCAAAATTGCCATCATCATGCTAATGCCATCCCACCTAAGGAAACACTCATCTCTCTCTCTCTCTCTCTCTCTCTCTCTCGGTGTTGGGGTATGAGTTCGAAAGAAGCTGGATCGGTCATTATCACTGATTCACTACCAATATTTTAGACATATTTACAATAAAATTATATATATATATATATTTGCACAGATATTACATGCATGCATCATGTACACATATGTAATCTACATATTTACATGAAGTACATTTATTAGAAAGTGTACTGTCACATGGTCCTCTGACATGGATGGAAAATGTACTCTAATCATGTGGAAAATTAGTGAAAAATTTACAGCTACGATCACAGGGCCCCTACATGGCAATAGCACTTTTCTCCTTTTCGATTAGGCTATTTCCCCTGAACTAAAAAGGCAAATCGATACCAGATTAATGTAACTCAATCATCCCATTCTGTAGACCAAATTGTGACCCAACCAGACAATTGCTTCCCATCCAACTTGTCAGATCATAAGTAGGAGTTGGGCATCTTTCAATTAGGCTAACTTTTGACATGAAAATATAGATATGTTATGTATGTGTATGCATGTCTATTAAAGAACCACCAGCTCAAGAATTTTTAGAACTACTGAACTGCATGCATATAATAAGGTAGGCAGAATCTTTCTAGTGACACAGATGTCACGGCTGTAGAGAGAAACCCACAGAATTGGGAATCAACATAATAAAGGTAGGGTATCATAAAGAAATTGCTGCATTGATTAATTTTTCCAGTTAGCAAGAAATGAGGAAAGGAGGTTCGAGCGCTTACGGGACAAAAACAGAATTATACTCCTGCTCCAAGCATATCACACATAGATCTGGCATAAATCGGTCTTTTTTAGTACTATCTGACCCATTTTCACCTTTATCATCTGAACCTGGGGAAAGAATGACAAGAAAGGGCTATTTTTCATTACTACAATAAACCAAAAAGGAAAAAACAAAAAGATAGAAGACACGCAGCAAGTTACCTTCACTATCTTGACCTGGTCTTTTAGCTGCAGCAGCTAGAACCCTGCATGGACAAGACTTCTTTTAGCCCTAACAGCACAAATATGTAGAACAAGAAAATCAAGACTGAAGTGCAATCTACCCCAGAGAGAAAGAGAGAGGGATTTGTCCCCATTTGCCTTGCATGAGGATTTGAACAAGAATGATAAGCAGCAGTGATACTAATAAACACCAATGAAAAATACCTCTTTCGCATTTCCCAATAACGCCTTCTTTCCATGATATAATGGAATGCATGCTTAGCCAGCAGATATACACCAAACACAGTAAACCCCACCGAGGCAACTTTGTACCACCTGCAGGATGCATCTGCATTAAGACGTGGAAGAATAAAAAGAAGAAAGCATCCTATCATACATGTTTATATGCATGCAGAGGCAGAGCCATGTAATCACGCTAGGTCCAGAGGGAGCAGCTGCCCCTCCTCAAAATTAATTTCACCCCTTTTAGACCATCTCCAATCCTTCATCAAATCTTTCATCGAATTAAAACTGATGAAAACTCCAACCTTTTAATCAGTTTGGTATCAAATAAAAGAATCGGTACTTCTTTCATCAAATGAAAAGAGCGTTTATCCTTTCATGAAATTTGTAGGTGACTGTTGGGTCGGACGTCCTCCCGGACAATTGGTTTTGGGATGAATTGGATGAAAATTTACTCCAGACGGACGACTGGATGATCAACTGGTCAGATTTGATGAAAGGGTTGGAGTGCATAATATCATATCAAACTTTTACTCAAATTTGATGAAATATCTAATTAACGATTGGAGATGCTCTTACTTTACCTCCCCTCTTTCCTGCAAAGTTCTGGCCCTCTCTGCCCCCGTTCCAATATTTGTTTAAAAAGTTAATTTGTTGGATTATTAAATTTATTGAATTTGTTTAATTGGGCAAGCACAATTATGTTGATTTTTTTAAATGCTGGTTTATTTTGATATGAACACATATTCGTTGATTTATTTAAATATACAAAACTTGGATTTAAGTTTTGATCACACTGACATAAATATACATACTACATACATAATAGTGGCCCCCGGATGAATTTTCGGCTTTGCCACTGTGTGCATGCATATGTGAGTGAAACAATTACAAAGACAACCTTGCCCACTTTCCAAGATTTGCAATGAGCTGGTCAATGGTTTTGTGAGAAACATAAAATGGTCCTTTATGAGGTCGTTGAATTCGAATTGTTCCAATGTCATCTTTGACAGCCTGACCATAAATTGAAGAAGGTTATAAGAGATAGCAATAACAAGAAACACACTAACATCTCAACATATCTTATAGGCAAAGAGCAACCACATCATTGCTATATTGTTGGTATCAATTTCAAGTACTGACAATTTACAATCAAAATGATTTAAACAGGTAAATTAACAAAAGTACATAGCCAGTGACACTGCTAAAATTAGATCAGGCATCACAATTAAATACATATTGACTTCAACAACAATGAATACAGATGGCTTGATTGCATCCTAATTAGATTATGTATTGCTATCCAATGTACAATTAATTAACCATTTACTTCATAAACAGTGTTAGTCATTTGTCAAATAACTTTACTATCTAGTATCCACCAAACAGTTACCAATTTTTAATTATTAATTTCTGCTCTCATAAAGCACAACATACCTCACCAACAACAGTCAAGGGTGTACCAGTTGGAAGAACCCGTTCAGTTCTTTTGACTCCAAGCATCTTCAAAAAACAGCCACCATTAAACAAGATTGATTGATTAGAAGCACATAAGTGGGTATGGATCAAAGCAAAGCATAAATGTAAGGTGAGTGTGCAGGTGTGTGCTAGTGAACAAACATATATATTTCATATAAACAAACCTTGAGACCTTGGAGATAGTCTAATGTTCCACGTACAAGAGACCGCCCTGATTCCTCAAACAGTTCACTTCCAATTGTTAAGACCAAGCCTGTGGCACCTCGGGCTCCTACTACATATACATGAGCAGTCCCATCATCCTGATACAGAGGAAACTTCAGCTTTGGCAATAATATGCATTCCAGACAACAAACAATCGAGATGCAGTATTTTGGCAGATCAATTCCAGAGAGAGAGAGAGACTCAATAGAACCATTTCTCACCAGGTACCAGGGAACCTCTTTACACATGGATAGCATCAAAGCAGAATCCTGTATCCATGAACCCGCATCATTGTGTTTTAGAAAGTGCTGCTCCGCCTGAATAAGATATTGGAAAATGTTCACTAATGACCAAAGGAAACAAAATCAATCATCTTATCTATAGTCTTCGAAAATATGAGTCTACAAACCATTTCCTCCACTATTACACCTCGTAAACCACTATGCTCACAGTTGATCGGTGTATTTGAACCAACTCTTCCAGTAATGGTAACAACCAAAGGTAGTACTTTGCTTGCTGTATCTAGTAACTGTGCTGAAATGTCGAAGAACACAAAAATATTATTTAGGTTCTGTTCATGAGCAAGTGTCAAGGCAATAGCAAAAATTGAGTCAGTTTTAACCAAACATCTAAAAAGAAAATAAGAAGAAGAAATTCATAAATCACTTTCGGACATATGTTCCTACACCTGTTTCTTCATTTTTGTTGTAATGAGTTATCGAATAGTCAAAATCCCTTGGCAACATCCAAGGTGGTCATTGGAGTTAAGAGCACTCACAGAATAATTGGCATTGATGATAATCAAGATTATCACCACACCGCACCATCACTATCAAGTGGGAGAATGAAAAGAGTGTAATAACATCCTACACTTGGGATTTTAATCAGCAATAATGAATAACCACGAGGACAAACAGGACGTTGCAACAGTTAGTGTATTATAATGTTAGTGTCATATATAGCTGTCATACATTAGCATATATTATATACATGTAAAGTAAAATGTTTATTGTAATGTTTATTGTTTCTATTTTCGGTGCATTTGGCATCCTATGTACAACACTCTCCTCTCTATAAAAGAGAGTGAGCTTCTCCTTGTGAAATACAGATTCAATATCTATCAATACATAATTTATTCTCTCTCTTTTTATCTATACATTAAATCCAACTTGTTAACATATAATATACATCCCACTAACATGTATAGCTGTAAAGGGCCTTGTAGCTGTAAAGGCCACACTTTCACTTTAGCTTTAGCATATCTCAATGTAATTAGCCTATGCATCCGATTCCATTTGTCTCCTTCTCCTCTCTATAAAGAGAGGGAGCTCACTCTCTTGTATGTACTGAAATATAACATAACAACACCAATTCTTCAATTTAGTCTCTCTCTGTTCTCTCCCTCCTTACCAATCTTTCATGGTATTAGAGCACAGAAATACAATTCTGGCATCCCTCAATTTTGGTGCTTAGTCCCGTACACAGTGGAATACACCAAACAGCTCGGAATCTCCTTACGATTCCAACGGCACCAAGCCCATCACCAGAAAAGCTCTCACGCGCTCTCACGCGCCGCTCCTTTGCTCGGCGCGTCTCTGCTTCTGTTGCCACACTCACACGCGCCTTCACGCGCCTTTCACTCTGCCCTTTCATGCGCCGCGCCTGCTACCGTGCACCCGCGTGCGCCATTCGTCTACCGTGAACCGCGCGTGCGCCGTTCCGCTATTGTGCACCCGCGTGCGCCGTTCTGCTACTATACGCCGCACGCCCTCTCTGCTATCGTGCGCCGCACGCCCTCTCTGCTAACGTGCGCCGCTGACATCATTTTCCATCCTGCTGACATCAGCTCTACACAGCCCACATTTCCTAGCTATTTTCGACCTTCCGGACTCACTGGTACACTCTGTTTTACCTAATTTTGCTCCTACAGGTCTATCCTTATCTATTTAGCCCTACTCCACTATTATTATGGATCGTCCTGATGCCTCCCATCCCATTTCCGTTATTACCTTCCAAAAAAAAAAAAAAAAAAAAAAACAAAAAAAAAAACAAAATCCTTACAAGTTTTAAAGACATGGATACTTTTTGCATTCTCTTCTCTTTCTTTCTTTTTGCTTTTCTTATCATGACACCCACATGGGCATGTCCCTTTGCTTTTGACAAACTATTTTTCTTTTCCTTCCTCTTATTCCTGTATTTATCCTTTTCCTTTTTCATATATATATATATATTCCAACAAACAACAACACTTTTTTTTTCATTACTTAATTTATTCTATACTTTAATACCATGAGCTGTCTCACTTTTCACCATCCTTTTTTTTTTTTCAAAAAACTCTGGCTGATTCACATTAGCCCCACTTTCTTTTTATTTATTTTATTTTATCTTTCTTTTTTCGTAATCAAAAAAAAAAAAAACAAACAAACAAACAAAAACAAAAACCAAAAAAAAAAAAAAACCTTTCTCTCATTTTTTTTTTTTTTAACATCTTCACTTTGTGTTGAGCTGTTTTGCTCCACTTTATCAATCCCTTTATTTCAACCTCAAATAGGTTTCTATCTTCACACCTATTTGAGTTTGAGGAGGGTTATACATATATCATGGTGAGCATGGTTACACACTATGTGAACCACCCAAGCTGATGAGCATGGTTATATACCACGGGAACCACTCAAGCCACCCCATGGCGCACTTCCTAAGTCGCCCCCTTGGTGCACCACCAAAGTCTGCTACAACGGTCCGGCATAACCCCGTAAACTGTCCCTACAATGGTCCGGCATGACCCCGTAAACTGTCCCGACATCGGTCCGGCATGACCCCGTAAACTGTCCCGACATCGGTCCGGCATGACCTCGTAAACTATCCCGACATTGATTCCGGTTAGCTTCTCCAACGGTCTGACACGACCACACACTGTCTGCTACATCGGTCTGGCATGACCCCGTAAACTGTCTCGACATTGATTTCGGTTAGCTCCTACAACGGTCTGACACGACCAGACAGCGTCTCATATCCTATTTTTATTTTATTTTCACGTTTTGTTACTCTCTCCAAACTCAAGTTGGTTTGTGTCTCTCCTCCTTAAATTTGAGGGGGGCTGTTAGTGTATTATTATGTTAGTGTCATATATAGTTGTCATACATTAGCATATATTATATACATGTAAAGTAAAATGTTTATTGTAATGTTTATTGTTTCTGTTTTCGGTGCATTTGGCATCCTATGTACAACACTCTCCTCTCTATAAAAGAGAGTGAGCTTCTCCTTGTGAAATACAGATTCAATATCTATCAATACATAATTTATTCTCTCTCTTTTTATCTATACATTAAATCCAACTTGTTAACATATAATATACATCCCACTAACATGTATAGCTGTAAAGGGCCTTGTAGCTGTAAAGGCCACACTTTCACTTTAGCTTTAGCATATCTCAATGTAATTAGCCTATGCATCCGATTCCATTTGTCTCCTTCTCCTCTCTATAAAGAGAGGGAGCTCACTCTCTTGTATGGACTGAAATATAATATAACAACACCAATTCTTCAATTCAGTCTCGCTCTGTTCTCTCCCTCCTTACTAATCTTTCATGGTATCAGAGCACAGAAATACAATTTTGGCATCCCTCAATTTTGGTGCTTAGTTCCGTACACAGTGGACTACACCAAACAGCTCGGAATCTCCTTACGATTCCAACGGCACCAAGCCCATCACCAGAAAATCTCTCACGCGCAGCTCCTTTGCTCGGCGCGTCTCTGCTTCCGTTGCCATGCTCACACGCGCTGCCACGCGCCTTCCACCCTGCCCCATCGTGCACCGCGCCTGCTACCGTGCACCCGCGTGCGCCGTTCGTCTACCGTGAGCCGCGCGTGCGCCGTTCCGCTATTGTGCACCCGCGTGCGCCATTCTGCTACCATACGCCGCCAGCCCCCTCTGCTACCGTGCGCCGCACGCCCTCCCTGCTAACGTGCGCCGCTGACATCATTTTCCACCCTGCTGACATCATCTCTACACAGCCCACCTTTCCTAGCTATTTTCAACCTTCCGGACTCACTGGTACATTCTGTTTTACCTAATTTTGCTCCTACAGGTCTATCCCTATCTATTTAGCCCTACTCCACTATTATTATGGATCGTCCTGATGCCTCCCATCCCATTTCCGTTATTTTGGATGGTTCCAACTATGTTCTATGGGCCCAAGCCATGTCTTCCTTCCTCAAAGGAAAGAAGCTCTGGCGAATTATCACCGGGGACATGACCCAACCGGTCAAAGACACTGCTGAAACCACTGTTTCTCCTGCTCCTCCTACATATGAAGATCGCCTTGAGGAATGGGACAGTAAGAATTACCAAATCATTACCTGGTTTCGGAATACGTCTGTTACCTCTATCAGTCTTCAGTTTGGCCGCTTTCAGCTTGACTCTGTCACCACTCCTGCCAAAGATATCTGGGATTTTTTGAAAGAACGCTACCAGACTACTGGTCTTGCTTATCAATATCAACTTCAGAGCCAACTTCATCGGATGCGCCAAGAATCTAGTCAGTCCATCAATGACTTCCTCTCTCAAATGTACTCCGTTTGGGACCAGCTTGCTCTTTCTGAACCGACTTGGCCTCACCGAGAAGATGTTGTTTTATTTACTGCTTATCGTAATCAGCAAAGGTTGGTGCACTTTCTTATGGCTCTCACTTCATCTTTTGAGCCTGTACGTGCCTCTCTTCTTCATCGCCATCCCTTGCCCACTCTGGAACAAGCTATTTCTGAGTTGCTATCAGAAGAGACTCGTCTTGGTACTCTCCAACCTCATCATGTGGACTCTGTTCTTGCCACTCCCCCGTACCAACCATCATTCCCCCAGCGGACCACTGCCTGTCTCTACTGTCAGAATCGGGGCCTTCCTTCCACACATCTCCTGGTCAATTGCCCGGTCAGAACCTGCCGATATTGCAACAAACTTAGTCCTGGTCATCTGCAACAAGATTGTTTTCGCCATCCATCCCGCTCATCCTCCAACAGCCACTCTTCTCGCGGTGGTTCTTCTCGGGGGAGCTTTCATCGTTCCAGGAATCAATCTCATTCTGGGAATCAGTCTCCTCACACCGCCACTACTGCTGCTGCTGCTGAGGGTTTTTCTGAGTCTCTGGCTCCGTCTACCCCTCTCTTTTCTCCAATGGATGTCGAGGCCATGTTCAAACACCTTCTCTCCCCTTCTGGTACACCTCCTCCTACTGCTTTGTCTGTAATTCCAGGTAACTCTTCTTGGTATTTTGATTCTGCCTGTTGTAATCATATGACCTCCAGTTCAACTATATTTTCTTCCATCTCTTCATCTCCTCATATTCCCTCAATTCAAACTGCTGAAGGTTCTCTCATGACTGTCCGTCATCTTGGTACTGTTTCCACATCTTCCTTAACTTTACCTCAAGTTTATCATATCCCTGCTCTCACTTTAAACCTTATCTCTATTGGTCAATTATGTGAACTTGGTCTAACTGTCACCTTTTCTGCTACTCATTGTTTGGTGCAGGACCC